GGGATTACAGGCTGAGCCACCGAGCCTGGCCTCAAATTGACTCTTTATACCCACTAAACTGACACTCATTCACCCCTCTCTCCAACACCTGCAACCCACCATTCTACTTTCTGTCTTCAAATTTGACTACTCTAAGTATATCATATAAATGGAACCATACAGTACAGTATTTGTCTTTTTGTGACTGGCTTATTTCATTTAGCATAATGTCTTCAAGGTTTATTTATGTGTCAGAATATCCTTTTTAAAGCTGAATTCCTTTTGTTTTGTTTTGTTTTGTTTAGAGACAGGTCTCACTCTGTCACCCAGGCTGGAGTGCAATGGAGTGATTATACCTCACTGCGGTCTCTAACTCCTGGGCTCAAGCCATTCTCCCATCACAGCCTTCCAACTAACTAACACCAAGCCACCGTGCCTGGCTAATTTATCCATTGTTTATAGGGATGAGATCTCACTATGTTGCCCAGGTTGGTCTCAGACTCCTGGCTTCAAGTGATCTTCCCATCTTGGTTTCCTAACGCTGATTACAGGTGTGAGCCACTGTGCCTAGTTCCATTTTCTGATCCCATTGTATATGTAGACCACATTTTGTTGATCTATTTATTCATCCATGGACAGTTGGGTTGCTTCCAACTTCTGGCTGATGGGAAGAATACTACTATGAATATGAGTGTGTAAATGTCTATTGAGTGTCTGCTTTCCACTTTTTTGAATATGTACCCAGAAGTGGAATTGCTGGATGATATGGTAATCCTATATTTAATTTTTTTGAGGAACCACCATACCATTTTCCACAACAGTTGCACCATTTTATATGCTCCCCCCTCTACATAGGTTATATACAAAGATGGGTGAACATACAAGGACATTCACTACAGCATTGATGTAACAGTGAAATATGAGAAGCCACTTAGAGTCAATAAAGTTATTTGATTACACAGAGTCACATATATCTATATACACAGATAAAGAACCATCGGCTGCACATCCTGTTAAATAAGAAAGCAAAGTGCAAGGGAATTGGGGGGGTAATTTTATTCCTGGGAACTGGCACCATGGCATCCAGAGAAAAGACATTGGTAAGGGAACTGGTAAAAATGGAATAAAGTTTGTAGATTAGTCAATAGCATTGCCTCACTGTTAATTTCCTGATTTTTTAATATTTGGACTTTAGTTATGTAAGATGCCAGCATTTGGGGAAGCTGAATGAAAAGCATACAGGAACTCTCTTTGCTACTTTTGCAATTGTTTTGTAAGTGTAAGATTATTTCAAAATGCACAGCTTAAAGAATCAAATAAACACAGTGGCTTAAAACAACTATGTCATGGTATTTCAAGATTTTGTGGGTCAGGAATTTGGGCAAGACTCAGCAATTCTTTCGCTCCATGTGGCAACAACCAGTATCATTTGGTGGTGTTCAGCTCGTGTCTGGGCTGGTCTTGAGCATTCAAGATGACTTTATTCACATGTTTGGCCCTTCAGTATTAGCTGGAAGGCTGGCATTGGCTAGGGCCCCAACCCCTCTGTGCAATCCCTGGACCTCTCAGTGTGCTCTCTCCAGCAGGACACTCAGAATTCTTATGTGGTGACTCGGAGATCCAAGAGTTAGAATTCCAAGATACAGAAGTGGAAGCTAAGACATAGCTGAGGACATAGACCTCACTTCTCAGTGCTCAAAGAATGTCTTGCTGGGTGTGATGTCTCAAGCCTGTAATCCCAGCAATTTGGAAGGCCGAGGTGGGAGAGTCCGTTGAGCCCAGAAGTTCAAGACCAGCCTAGGCAATGTAGAAAAAAAAAAACCAGAAAAATAAGCCAGGTGTGGTGGCACGTGCCTGTGGTCTCAGCGATTAGGGAGATTGAGGTGGAAGGATCGTCTGAGCTCAGGAGGTCAAGGCTATAGTAAGTTGTGATCATGCCACTGCCCTCCTGGGTGACAGAGGGAAACCCTGACCCCCCAAAAAAATCTCTTCTCTAACCTGTCACACACTCCATTGCACAGAATTAGATTAATCATGGCCTTGGTTCTTGGCATACTCTCATCACTGGTCCAGGCACAGACTGTATTATTTACTGATTTGTGTTTTTGCTTAGCTTTTCTCAAAAAAGCAAAGGAAGTCTTATGTTTTTCCTTTTGGTGTCATTTGTGATTTGTCTACCTGCATGACAATGTGACTAAGAAGAACAGCTGATTAAAAAAAAATCTATGCTTATCTCTGATTGGAATGGGATAACATTTTACTATTATTTCTTAAATATAACATTTCCTTTATCTGCATGATTCAACAAAATTTATTAGCAAAACTAGCAAAATTGTACAGCTTAAAGGGTTTCTGGAGGAGCTCTGAGGCTGTTATAAAAGGGAGATATAGGCTGCAGTTTTTCAGTTACATTTGCTGGAATAGGGCAGGAAAAGAAGACCCCATATCTGGAGGTTGCATTACGGTGAAAAAGGCATGGGCTTCCCAGGCAAACTGATTTAGGATGGATCCTGATTCATCTACTTTCTAGCTGTTTAGGACTTTATCTAACTCTCAGAGCCTCAGTTTCCAAGTTAATATGTTAGGAATAATGATGTCAACCTTGCAGGATGTTGTGAGGATTGCAAGACACTATGGTGTAAGTAAAGCACCTAGTATCCTACCTAGAATAGAGTATTCTCAACATACGACTACTAATGTGATGATGGACATTCATGTTCAGTAGGCTAAAAAAGACCTTCACATACACGTCCAAACCACTCCTAAGAGAGGAAAGACAGATGCAGGTCCCTATTTAGGAAGTGAACATACAAAGACCCAGCAACACATTAAAGTCACGGGCTAGTGCAAGGGAAAGAAGACAGAGGACTGCAGGCTATGGTCCAGTACTCATTGTGATGGGCTCTGGTGAAGCAAAGTGAGTGCCGCATAACCAGATGCTAGTCCTGTCACCTTGGCAAGGCCAAGTGCTGAGGACAGACTGAAACCACAGACTCTGCCTCAGGAGAGGCATTCTACTAGCTGAGTATCTGATGATAGGATTTGGAGGTGTTCCCAGTATCAAAATGGGAAAACATCGATACACATTACATGAGCAAAAACAGGAGCAGTACCATGCATCTTCCTAGGTTAGTAGCAATTTTACCGTCTGCAATAAAGTTTGAGAAATAAAAAGCAAGGATCAGGCACCTTTAACTTGAAAACATGAACTTTTATTTCTTAACTTTTTAAAAATAACAGCTAGTGAAAGAGTTTTGTTTTTGTTTTCTTTTTCTTTTTGAGTCAGAGTCTTGCTCTGTTATCCAGGCTGGAGTGTAGCGGCATGATCACGGCTCACTGCAGCCTTGACCTTCTGGGCTCAGGATATCCTTCTGCTTCAGCCTCATGAATAGCTGGGACTACAGGTGCACACCACCACGCCTGGATAGTTTTTTGATTTCTTATAGAGACAAGGTCTTGCTATGTTGCCCAGTCTGGTCTCGAACTCCTGGCCTCAAGCAAATCTCCTGCTGTGGGCTTCCAAAGTGCTAGGATTATAGGCATGAGCCACTGCATCCAACAGTTTTAAGTTCAGACCCTGCAAGTCATAAAGAAGTAACTTTATTTTTATTTTTATTTTTTTGAGTTGGAGTCTCACTCTGTCACCCAGGCTGGAGTGCAGTGGCACGCTCCCGACCACCGCAGCCTCGACCTGCTGAGTTCAGGTAATCCTTCTGCCTCAGCCTTCCAAGTAGCTGGAATTACAGGCATGAGCCACCACACCCCGTTAATTTTTTGGTTTTTATTGTAGAGATAAGGTCTCGCCAAGCTGTCCAGGCTGGTCTCAAACCTGTGGGCTCAGGCAATCCTCTCACCTCGGCCTACCAAAGTGCTGGGATTATAGGCGTGAGTCACCACACCTGACTCTAACTCCTCATATTTTTACACAGCAGATAGCATTCTGCACCTTTCTTCTTTCACATGACAATATACTTGGAGATTTTTCCACATGTACATAAACAGCTTTCTCATTCTTTTTTACCATGTTAAATCCCATTGGGTAGATATACTATAATTTGTTTAACTAGCTCCTTATTGACTGACAATTTGTGCTGCTTCTTAGATAAAGCCTTAGTAACAGAGAGTCCAACCAAGCAGGCAGCGGGGGTTACAAAGTGGGTGAGAAGGTGGGAGTGACAGTTCACCTTCCCAGGTGGTCTGAGAAAGCAGGGAAGGTCTGGGACAGGACAGGAGGAGAAGTGGGGGTGAGATGTGGGAGGTAAAGTAGGGTCTCCCCCAGGTCTCCTGGGAGGCTAGTTTCTCTGCTGCTTTTTCCTCCATGGCCCTACCACCCACTTCTCTTGCTCAGTTCCCTTTTCCATTTGCTGCTCACTTGTTGTCCCCCATTCTCCAGCTCCAAGCCTGACTGCCTGAGTAACTTCCCAAGTCCTCACTACAGAGAGGACTGTTAGGGTGTGCTTGCCCCCACCACCTTGCCTCCCATGGCACTTGTGTAAGGTCCGTGAACAGTAGCTGATGGCTCAGCTTCCCTGTCAGCCCAGTGCCAGTCTCCTGGGCATCCAAGCCTCAGTTTCCCTGGGGTAGACGGATGGGCTGAGGAGGCAGAAGCCCGAGGCTGTCTGGAGCCCTTTCGCCCCCTCATTCTCCAACCCCCATCAGTGGGCCACACACCCTGTGGTTCCTCCTTGTGCAAACCACACCCTGTGGTTCCTCCTTGGGCACACAACACTGGCGCAATCTAAGAGGGGAAGTCTAGAGGGTGGTGGCTCCCTTAAAGATCAAAGAGCAAGCTAGTGTCACAGCCTGGACTTAAAGTGCTACTGGGGAGGAAAGCAGAGTCCTGCTTCCAGGCTGGGGAAGTGCTCCCTCTCAGCTCCACTGGCCCCCATCCTTGACTCAGCTTCTCTGTAAGGTATGAAGGGTGGGGAGGGCAGAGATCTGGGCTTGGGGTGTGTGGAAGAACATGCGGCTGCTACCCCTCTCTCAGGCCTTGTCTGCCTTTGACTGTGTCTCCCTGGCAGGAATAGATGGACATGGCCTGGCAGATGACACAGTTGCTGCTTCTGGCTTTGACGACTGCTGTGGGGAGTACCCAGCTCAGGACTCCACGGGCCAGGACAGACCTACTCAACGTCTGCATGGATGCCAAGTACCACAAGGCGCAGCCGGGCCCCGAGGACAAGTTGTATGGTCAGGTGAGGATGGAGTGGGCTCTGGGATGATCCCAATAGAGAAGAAATTAGAGGCATGGGAATGTCAGCTGTGGGAGGCAATGGAGGCAGGAGGGTGGCTGAGGTGATCCTGGAAGGCCTCCCCTGAGGAGGCCACGAAATCTACACTAGTGAAGGGACCGTATATCTAGCACCCACTATGGGCCGATGCTTTCCTTATCCCATGTCAGTGAACATGCCCCAAGAGTCAACTTGGTAGGTGACTGGTGGTCTCTAATTATGCAAATAAGGAAGTAGGCCCACAGAAGGCACAAGTACATGTGGGAATTGAGGAGAGGGACTGGCTAAATGTGTACCAGCCCTCAGAGCTCAATGGCAAGACAGAAGAGGAGCTGGGTTCCTCATGGTCATGGCACCGCAAACATGTACAAACAGGCCAGGTCCCCACCCCCACTAAGTTCTGAAGAGACAGTGACAAATCAGATATGCTGGAAAGACTTCCTAGTAAAGAGGCCATTGGAGAATGAGTAAGAGTTTTCCAGGAAGACAAAGCAGGAAAGGGTAGCCCGGCAGAGGACAACATGTACACAGGTCAGAGGGTGACAGCACAAGCAGTGGAGAGTCTAGTGTGGCCAGAGCCAAGGATGCTGCTGCCTGAAAAGAAGGGGAGGAAAGGCCAGGGCCCCATTCCATAGGTAAGGCCACCTATGACTCACCCAACCTAGGGCCCTGGATCCAGTCAGGTAGGTGTGCCAGTTCAGGGTATGTGAGTTTGAATTTGAACTCCAGGTTCAGGAGAGATGCCAGGATTTCATTCTGTCTGGTCACCCCATCTGATTCCCACAAGATGTCATGATGCTAGAGGGCTGGGAATATGTCCAGGGAGACACTGTGGCATGGGCAGCCGCCAGGGCTTGAAATGAAGAGGGGAAAGCCCAGAAGTCCATGACATCTGAGTCATTTCCAACACTCAATTTCCTTTTTTTCTTTTGTGAGAAATATACCTAACATAACCTTTGTGTGTGTGTGTGTGTGTGTGTGTGTGTGTGTGTGTGTGTGTGTGTGTGTGTCGGAGTTTCACTGTTTTGCCCAAGCTGGAGTGCAGTGACACATTCACGGCCACCGCAGCCTTGACCTGCTGATCCTTCTGCCTCAGGCTTCCAAGTAGCTAGAACTACATATTACCACATCTGGCTAATTTTTTTATTTATTGTAGAGACGAGGTCTCACCATGTTGCCCAAGCTGGTCTCGAACCCATGTCCTCAGACAATCCTCTTGCTTCCACCTCCCAAAGTGCTGGGATTATAGGCATGAGCCACCATGCCCAGCTAACTTTTTTTTTTTTTTTTTTTGCATCGAGGTCTCGTTCTTTGCTCAGGCTGGTGTGCAATGGCATGATCACGGCTCACCACAGGCTTGATCTCCTGGGCTCAGGTGATCCTTCTGCCTCCGTCTCCCAAGTAGCTGGGACTACAGGTGTGCATCACCACGCCTGGCTAATTTTTTGATTTTGTTTTAGTAGAGACAAAGTCTTGCTCTGTTATCCAGGCTGATCTCAAATTCCTGGCCTCAAGCAATCTTCCTACCTCAGCTGGGATCACAGATGTGAGCCATGGTGCCCAGCCACCGTTTCAGCTACTTTATTGTTTTTGTTTTTATGAGTTGGAGTCACTCTGTCGCCCAGGCTGGAGTGCAGTGGCACACTCACAGCCACCACAGCCTCAACCTGTTGGGCTCAGAAAATCTTTCTGCTTCAACCTTTCGTCTCAGTCTTTCAAGTAGCTGGAACTACAGGTGCGTGCTACCACGCCAGCGTAGTTATTTTTGTTTGTTTGCTTTTTGTTTTTGAGTTGGAGTCTCACTCTGTCGCCCAGACTGGAGTGCAGTGGCCGCTCCCGGCCACCTGCT